AGTTTGGAAGGTTATTAAAACATTTCCAGCCGACAAGAGCTGAAGATGAGCTGGCAGCACACATCTGTGTCGCCTGAGCGTGAAGAGGAACAGGATTTTAACGAGCTTTATTACCTGCTGTAATCAACTGTTCCGCTTGTTTTGGAGAGGAGGAGACCGACTTCGGCTCTGTGTAAAAACTTCCTGACTGATGAAAACTTTAAGTATTTAGCTTAACTCCATCAGCTGTTTGCTGTAAACACACCGCTGGATGCTGGCTGCTGTTTCCGAGCGATACATTTAATGCAGCTGTACGATCTCAAGCGACATCGGCGAGACATGTGTGCTATCTTACTGTTGGCTGTGATTTATTGGTTTGGAAACAACGGTGGAAAAGAGAGGAGCAGTCTTAGAAAAACAGCTAACATGCTCGCCAGTAGCCTCTAGTCGCCCATTCAGAAATTCACTGCAAGTCAAGCCCCACCCCCCCAAAGTAACGTTACTTTCAGAAAGTACTACCCCCCGAGCAGGGACTTTTTGGGGACCCTGCTCGGGGGGGCCCTACAACTAAATTCAGACCCAGCTATATATAGTCACTGCCACTCAGTTCAGACAGGTCAAAGCCGCCCCTGCATAGGGCATGTGCTCAACATGCCGTTCTAGTGTTTTGTGGCACAATGACTCAGAGGAGTAGGTCATGGCTGGCAGCAGCAGAGCATAAACAGACTGGACTCAACTGCTCACATCCTCAGCCAAATGAACTGGCAGTCAAATGGCAATGAGGAGGGCTTATCACTTGTGCAACTTGAGCAGTACTCAGTACGTGACTGCTGAACCGCACTGTGAAACGGCTTTAATCTTTGATTAAGTCACCTTGAGGCCTGTACCACTGTGCACGACGAAATTTATTCACGTTCTCATCCCCGGATCGTCAAATACTGACGCTGCTTTACACAAACCTCGGGTTCGCAGCTGTCTTTTCACTAAGTACAGTAAGTAGCTCATACTAAACCTTGCAAAGTCTCTCAGGCTGACTCCTGAGATCATTTTGTCCTTCTATACTGTAGGGAGTCATGTTAAAGCTTAATCAAACCCAGCCAGTGTGCTATAGAATGTACGGCTGGCATTTTATATTTTACACAAAAAATCACTATTTAGCCCAAGTTATTGTTTTGTTGTGTGTCATTTAGCCTTGCTCTGAACCATGTAGGTTCCTCAGAGGCTCCAAGGTGCACTATGTGTCCCCCCTCCCTTTTCATCTCTGCAGTGAGTTTCTCCATGCCGTGTGATTGCTCTGAGCGACACCTTCATGATCCTTCAACACAAAGTCGGCCTGCAGATGCTCGTTCTTTGGAGTTTAGCTCTGCAAAAAGGCTCACTTGCAGAAGTTATGTTCATTTGAATTAGGTCAGCTACACTCAAAGGGTAAAGGATTTAATTCAACATGCCAGTGGCAACAAAACTGAGAGAAAACAACAGGAATGTCCCATTACTTTCAAATGTTTCTTTCAGTTAGTAACCATATTAACGTCCTCAAAAAGCACATGTGAAAACCAATAATACTCGCAAGTTGCATCTTTGCACTACGGTCCACTGTAAGTGTGATTAGTCATCCCCAGCCAGATGAAACTAGCTTCTTATCTGCAGCGAATGCTTATATTAGCAAATAAAACCCAGAGTCATCAAGCACCCTAAGGCTCAGAATTGCCAGAGAAATCCCACATAAGATCCACATCCTTTCATAAATCAGCACACAATCCGTAGTTGAGTTGAGATAAGTGGGATTAGATTTTGGATTATGCCTTTGGGTCTCGGGATACCCAGCCTCCCAGATCTGAGGGTCACAGGTGCACGCTTTGGTTCCATGCATCCCTGATAAAATGTCCGTCTTTTAAGCTCATAGTTAATGCTCTACTGTTCAAACAAACAGCACAGTTACCGAAAGCATGAAAATGTTATGTCGTGTAGGCAGAATAGAAAGATACAGCGATACAAATCTTGGTTGGGTTGCAATCCTACACATTTTTGACAAACAAGGAGATGCTCATTATTGTAATTTACAATTCCCTTCCCTCTAGCAATAATAAGCCCCGAAGAGTACAATTTGGAGCTCATATCCAGTTTATATGATAATTATGCAAAAAGGATGGATTAATCAGTACAAGACTCTGTTTATGCCCAATTTAAGTTGAAGCAGTGTGTATGGGGGTTGGGGGGGGGTCAAACTTTTGTGACAGAGCAGGGAGGAGAACTTTTTTTCATCATATACCAATATTTTATGTCCAACCCATTCTCCTGGAAACGGTGACAAACTTTCATGTACGGTACATGAGTTGCTGGGAAGCGCTGGACTTTGACACCGGAAGCCAGGGTTTGCTCCTAGACCTATTTATTTCAGGCTTCTTTTGTGAGATTTATTGTATAAAAAATCTAATAGTTACATCGACAAGATAGCTTTAATGTGCACCATGGATCATTAAGGTCCTATCTTTTTCAATCCATTCTCATCAATATCAGTTGTCTGGTTCTTGTATACTAATTTGGTGGATGTCATAACTGTCCATTTAGCAGCTTTACATTCAAAGTAAGAGAGTGTTTGTATTATCACCATTTTGTTGTTTAGCAGAAGAAGAAGAAGAAGAAGGAAGAAGAAGAAGAAGAAGAAGAAGAGGGTGTGAATAACACTGGAGAGGACCTTGCTTTTTTATGAAATGAAATGTAACATTCAGCCCCTCCCCACCTCAATCATCTTCGCACTGTCCCTACATTTACATTTACATTTATCTGATGCTTTTATCCAAAGCGACTTACAATTGCTATCCATGTCAGAGGTCGCACGCCTCTGGAGCAACTAGGGGTTAAGTGTCTTGCTCAGGGACACAATGGTAGATGTCTCACAGTGGGAATCTAACCCAGGTCTCCCACACCAAAGGCAGGCATCTTATCTATGCGCCATCACCACCCCTAACACAGCAACAGGCTATAATATTACATAAACTAATTTCAGATTTTGTAATGCTTATGTGATAAAGCGTAAAGCACTCTATTTGATCTGTGAAGTTACGGAGAGGCATTCAACCCCAGGCTTTATGTTCATCACCATCTTTATGGTAACGATTATTAGAATGTTTGTGTCTTCAGCTTAAGAATGAGAACCCACAAGTGTTCTGCTTCATTTCACATGTTACACAAGGAGCATCGTGTGGTGACATATAACATAATAAAACAATATAAGACTATTCTTTTAACATTGGGATATGCTTTTTCCATCAGAAAAAAAACCCCAGTCATGATAAAAACACCCCTTTCTCCTCCCAAGATTGTTCATCACGCGGTCAAGTCAGCATTCATTCTGCACTGTGTGTAACAAATCTATGAGTACGTGATCTGAAAGCACAGGGTGGTGAAATGAGATGGTGCTGCAAGCTCAGAGGGAGCTCAGAGAGAAAGCCTCACGCTAGTGAAAAGGTCTCATCTCAAATTGAACTGGTAAACAGCCATGTCTAATCTTGGCACCTTTCACTGGACAGGTTTCAAGTCTTAAAGCCATATTTTTGAATATATTATGTACTGGTACATTTACAATTTTTTAATGACAAATTTGGTTAATGACAAGTTCAAACAGCAAATGAATGTGTTGACTTCTACTGTACTGTGAAAGGTTTATGTTTTCACGAGACATACTGAAACTCTTAAACCAATCTCTATACCCAACTACAGTAAATCCACTCTCAAGTGAACACAGCATTTCATTGTTAGAGAGGAGAGTCACTCAACCTTATTGTAATTTGCAGTTTTTTGGAAAATGTCAAGTGTTGGGAGTACTGAACTACATGCTAATTTTCATTGTGGTCATAATTATTTTCACATTTTAAAATCACAAATAGGCCTATTTTGTTAAGGGTAAAGATATCTATTTTAAGAACTCTCATTCTTTCTAATGCTATTGTCACTGAAGTGTAAAATCAGGCTCTGCTTCTGAATAAGAATAGAGGACTGAGTCTAAGTCATAAAACTTTTCAATACAACTTGTAAATATATTTTCTCCGTCATCAAATAAGACTGACCTTACTGAAAAATAACAACAGTGTCTGACATTTGTTAAAATGCTTAAAATTACTTTTATTTACATTTTCAGGACAACTGACCTTTTGTGGCTGTGGAAATAACAGAAAGAAAGGTGGAAATAGCATGATGTTGTTGTTATGTCACAAAACCACTTAGGGAGGATGTTGAAGTGGATGTTTGGGTGTATAAAGTGTCTGTCTTTGACACTATGTGGTGGGATATGAACTCTCAACCATGATGGGTGAATGTGCTACACCTCCTGCCAGTACCCCTGGAATTCACACTCCTATTTCCTGCTTTGCTTTGCTTTACTTCCTGTGTTGGCACTGAACTCACAGGCATCAATCCTGAGTTACAGATTTGTCCAATATGGGTGTATTTGTCCAATATGCGTTGCTAGGAATACTTGCCAGGTGTGTTCATAAACATTACCTGGAAATTAGGTAAATTCACTAATAGGACAGACACATACAGTAAGTTAACTCTGTTAACTAGAAGTTCTAAATCAAAGGCAAATGGACTGGAGGTTAGCGACCCATTTAAACTTTCAGTTTGGTGATAAGTGAAAGATAAAACCCGACAATCACATTTATTGCATTTAGTGGCCTGTATTGTTCCGCTTTTGGTACTTTGCAGCTGATTAACTGCTTAATATCTTGAGTACACATTCAGGCAACATCCACATGCATCAACATGTAGGCCTATGTACATGTTTATTCTATAGGCGCTGCATGTCACACGTTACTTTCATCTGAATACAGCGACTTTCCCCCATATAACTAAACAGGACAGGTGGGTGGCTGGTGTGAAATGTCCGATTGACAAAGCTTATAATGTGGTCAATTTGATGTGTCGGCTGTCTTTCACCGGGTTGCTGCAGCACGTGGATGAATGTGCGGATACGCGGCTCTGATTGGCCAGGCACGCGGATCCCAGCAGGAGCGCTGCGCTCTGTACTTGTCATTACTGTTGCTCCGAATCACAAGCCCGTGAACACCGCTGGGCTCGGTGTGGCCGTCCCTTTTCGGACGTGGAAATTAATCTGTCATTATTTAAAGCGACGGCTCGCACCATGGATGCTACCATTTATCAGATCATATTTGGGGAGCTCGGGGACTTAAACTGTAGTTTAATAGATGCTTTCCAAGACACTTTTTTGGAAAACGCTTCATTGTCATTGCTGAGCTTTGATGGTAAGATGGAATTCCTGCATTTTTTCTTTCTCACTATTGAGGTTGCGTCTTGGATAAGGGAAACAATACGTCTTCCGTTTGTTTTTATTTTTTTTATTGTTTTTATTTCTCCAAGGTTTATATTGCAATGCCACTACCGATGAGATTGGAACCTGCTGGCCGCGGACCAGCACGGGGAGGATTGTAGAGAGACCCTGCCCTGAGTACATTAACGGGGTGAAGTACAACACAACGAGTAAGATATTTAGCGGCCAAGGCAAAAGTACCCCATTGTGAATTTATGACATTATACATTGTGTACATAATTGGTTTGTCAATTATAAAAACAAAAGAGATAAAATACATCAAAGAATACAGACAGATGTTCTGGCTTCAGGTAAAGGTAAAATATTATATTTTCATGAAAATGCAAGGTCTGCTCCTTAAGCATAATCAAACAAATTCAGCATCCACCAACATAATGTGTCTTAGTGCTGTTTCATCATGTTCTCATCTTGAATTGGGTGATTTATTTTTGGTCTGTTGAAGCCCTTATGGTCTCATGTAAAGCAGTGATGACTCTGAATCTCAATGATCATTACACCTCCTGTCACTGGAACTGCTGCATCAGAATGAGCATGTGTGCTGTTCATGGAAGTTTAAAGGACCCATGTGCCTAAAAATCACTTCAACATCACTGAAATGTGATGTGATTACAATTGTTATTAGATTATATTGGATTTAAATGATTGTTCAGCAACCTTGCCAAACTTGGACGATTTGACATACTGTTGAGATATTTCTATTGAAGCACACAAGCGAAAAAGAAAAGTAAAAGTGAATAAAAACCTTCAGTGGTAAACTGCACAGTTAAGAGAATATGAATTTGAAATTAATGATCATAAACAAAAAAGAAGAATTGCATCATAACAAGAAGAAGTCATCAGATGCAGAGTCACATATTTACAATAGCTTCAGTTGACCAGAATGCATTTCACTCTACTATTCCATAACATAAAGGACTGTTAGCCATGCAGCAGAATCTTCTGTCCACCTAATCTGGAGTGGGCTCCAATCACATATATTTTTCTGAATCTACCCCACAGCTATTTCAGAAGGCTAAGCCACACCTGTCATCACAGAGCACATTCAGTGTGGATTCAAATATTCTTATGGTTTATGGTTTTTCTTTTAAGTCATAAAATAGCATTTTTAACTTGCTGCTGACTGAACAGCAAGCTGAAGGGAAGGTTTTTGTCTGCTGGCTGGAAAGACTGAGCAATTCTGAACCCAAACTGTATCAGCCAACATTTGTACCAAGAGCTGAGAACAGCATACAACAACTCTCTACCATCCCAACACTGACATGTTCTTTACCCCCTGTATTAATCATCTGAAGACTGATGAAGTTGTTGCTGACATACTCAAAAAAGTAAATTACAGTATTCATTTCACAAAATAACATCAGAAAATAACTCCTATGATGCACTGAGCACAGGGGCAGGCTGACAGAGTAAAAGTGTCAGGAGCCGGGGTTTTTTATTCAGCACAGCTATATGTATACATCTACAGGCTCAGGTGCAGTGTCATTACCAAGTAACCCACCACCACACACACTCACGCACACCGTGCTGTCTGCCTAGTCCCTTCTTATTGCATTGATTCCCCAATTGCTCTGCTGGTTCTCAGTGACACATGTCATATGCCATGACAATATGTGCCCTCTCTGACATACCTTCATTTATTGACACTCTTGTGGATTGATGTAATACGTGTGACAGCTGAGGCTTAAATATTGGGTTGAGACAGCACTGACTGAATATTTCTTTGAAACCGATCTTCCAATCAAACAATAGGCTTGTGAAATTCAGTGGAGTATAATGGCATTTTTTGTTCGCTTGGGATGATAAGGTGGCTGTTTTAACATGTCTGATGCATCAAGTAGGAAATAAGAAGTACAAAAATCAGAGAGAAAATAAACTATTTTTGGAAAATGAAGTCACGTTACACTTCTGAGGTAGAATGAAACAGGTGACAGATTTCTTTGTTCCCCAGTGTAGAGCTCCTGAGTAAGATAATTACAGGAATCAGTCTTTCTGACTGCAGATTGTTTTGTTCTTGCAGCATCAACAACATAAAGAATTAAAAGTGTCAATTTATTTGACCACAGATTGGTCTGTAATGTGCATGAAATAAGCTGCCATAAAGCTTATTTCTATAAACATCATTGCATTTTATGGAAGAGGTTTTAGACAAGAGACAAAGTAGGAAAGAATATGAGGGAATTTTTAGTTTGTCCACTTTGCAGACATGTAATGCAACATATTTTACAGCATCTTTCACAAGTTCCATTGTAGCAGAAGATAGTGTACTATTGGATCATATAATTTTGTATTAGCAACACTGTGGCAGACTCGATTAGTTTAGCTGTCTCTGATCAATTGTCATATGTGAAAAAAACACAGAAATCATTATGGCAACAATGCATATGAGCATGGAGTATGGGACTGCAGCATGATGTGTTGAAATTGCATGCTTAGCCTTAGCATGCACTTCATTCGTTTAGTATTTTACTCAGTATGGTATTTTTTCTGATGTGTCACATTTGCAAAGCAACAAGCATTAGAAACATTCAAGTTGTCTGCCTAGTTGTCCTCTGCTAGCCACTACTAGAGCATCTAAAGAGATAAAAGGCACCTTACAGTAATTGCTGAAGTAGGATCAGAGAAGGGGCAGAGTTAATATTAAAGGAATAGTTAAACATTTTGGGAAATGCACTTATTCACTTAGCTAAATATTTAATTGGCTGCAGTATGTGTTTTGAATGTTATGCTTTCTTTCATAATACTGTATCTTGCACTGTCACGTTGTGCCATGACATCCTGTTGATGTTTTAACACATCTGTATGCACTGTGGAACTCTGAGATCTGTAGATCTCAACTACTCACTCACTAGTGCTAATGCATTTTTCCATTCTTCCCTGTTTAAAGATAATGGGGTTCTTCAAATTACTTTACATCACAATGGTGATGACAGTAAAAATGAAGCAGAGTTGATTTATTTCCTCAAAGACAGAATTGTCCATGTTACATTTTAATGACTTCCGATCTGTTAAATTCACTGTATTAGGGTGAATGTTTTAGTGCAAAGTGTATTAAATAGATTCTGGTTAAACACAGCAGGGAAGCTTTTTACAAAACTCATAATTGCATAATTGATACTCAAGTCACAGGATGCTGCATGTTTTCACAACAAAGTGACATGGATCCTGAGACAATGGCGTTGATAATCTTGATCCTGCTGGGTCACATTAGCTACACCCATTTGCAGCCATGGATAAATAAAAATTTGGTTTACAAAGTAGGTCAGACTAAGAATAGACGTAGGCTCTAACTTCACATGAGCAGGTGTTAATCAACACAGGCAGTTACACACAGAGTCACAGAATAAAGTGGAATTAGAAAAATCGATGCAAAGTTACTGCACACTTTTGCTGCAATGTTATTTTTTGTTTCTGTTTATTTTGTCTCTCACATTGGCTACATGCAGGGGACTAAAAATGGGACTAACAATAGATTGCGTTTCATCTGTCTCCTTGGAATGTCTCTGAGCTAAACATTTTATGCTACAGGCGTGCATATTAGTAAATCATGACCCAAGATGGACTACTGTTAAATGTTATGGACAAAGCCCTGTGCTTTGTACTGCCAGTTGTTAAACACTGGAGGATATATAGTAAATGTAATATCTTGTATGTAACCTCCTAGGTTTTTGTAGTACTTTAAAATGAACAGCTGAGTAAGTTTAGTGTCAGCAGAATGTTGCAATTCACACAATCAGGTTTCACAGGCTTAACAGGCCCACTCAGGTAAGGGACTGTAAATTCCTTTCCATTTCTTCAAACATATATAAATATTAATGTCTGTGCAGAGTGGCTTAAGAGGTTTATGCATTTTTAAACCTTCCTGTCCCATCGTTTTTTTTGTTTTTTTTTGGCGCATTTATTCAACTCTCTGGTTTACATGAAATGCCCATCGTGACAGTTGTGGCAGAGTGGTTGGATGTGACTTACTGTCGTTCATTCTCTCTGCTTTGGAACTGCCATATGATGTGTTTTCTGTCAGGCTGCAGGCAAGACAAAGTGTTCACAGCAGTATAGATGAATGACAACACCAGTGTGTCAGTTTTTCAAATTCAAGCCATATCTCAGTGAACTGTGTGTTTTCTCTGTTCAGACTCTCAGAGTGTAACTGTAATTATTTGGTGAATCACTTTCCCTCCTTTGGTAAACTCACTCCATCCCTGTGGGCCTCTGTTCATTGTCACTGAGGAGACATCTTATCAGCACATAATGTACTTTTCTAGTCAACACAGCTCAAAGGCAGGATTGCTGTTTCTACAATAGAACTTTATTGATTCTCTTATCATGATTAATAAAGTCCAAGATGTATCAACGCTGTGGTGTGTCTCGGGCTCAGAAAGAGAGTGTGGCTGCTGGAGCGCTGCCTTCTGGGGAAACAGCTCAATCCTTTTTTTTTTTTTCATCAGAGATTACTGTGGAACATTGCCTCGTTTTTCAGAAGCAAACTTGAAGCTATAAACAGAGACAGGCTAAAGATTTAACTCTTCTCATTAGGCGTGAGAAAGAACCAAACACCTGCATAAAACAGCCATTTTTCTCCTAAAAAAAATTCTAGTTTTCATAGATGTGTCATTTACTGTAGATGTGTTATTTCGCTAATTGAAAGTGTTCAAGAGCCACAAGTGACATTGGAGGACAGAGCTGTGTGCACAAATCTTATAATGTATGTTTATAAGCTATGTATTATACTGATTGTCCATACTGTAATTTTACATGACATCTATTGCATGTCTGTACATCCTGGGAGAGGGATCCCTCCTCTGTTGCGTGTCCTGAGGTTTCTTAGATTTTTCCCCGTTAAAAGTTTTTTTGGGGGGGGAGTTTTTCCTTATCCCCTTGAGGCAAATTTGTGATTTGTGAAATTGAGTTTAATTGACATGTGCAGGCTTGCTACTTCTGTAGAGGGACAAAACACTAGACTCAGGCCCGCTGGAAGTCCAGATCTGTCCTCAATACTTAACAAGTATTGCTGGTAGATAACACTTGGAGTTCGAAAGAAGTTACTGGAGTCGGTCAGAGATCGATGCAATAGAGTTTATTGTCAAAGCAAGACAAAACCAGAGCAAGCCTTAGCTAACTGACTGGTAAGGCACACTGAAAACATGGTGTGGAG